GTTGATTTCAAAAGTTAATAACAATTTTTAGCTAATATCTCGAAAACAAAAGCTTTCCGCTAAATTTGTATATGGACAAAATTGTTCAGAATCATGGCCGTGATAAGATATTAAAAGCGCACTAAAATCGAGAAAAGTTTATTTCAAAAGTTGCCGGTTTTTTTGCAATAACAATACTTTGCACTTAAAAAATGAAAAATTTTTTGATAATGGTACCAATGGGGAGTCAGCACCTACCATATGCAAAAGGTTTCATTCCGATAAGTTAGAACCTACCAGATGCAATAGGTTTTGTTCCGATCGGTGCATCCAGCTAGGCGTAATCAGCGGGCACACATAGAAAAAGAAAATATATACTGATCGAATTGAGTAACCTTCTTGTTAGGAATCGCTATTATCGACCACATAGCACCGATCGGCCGTCGTGGCGCTATGTAGATCGCGAAACCCCCTCTCCTTATAGGTTCTAGCTATAAAGCGAGTCGCGAGAACAGAATTGTACCATCTTTTGAAGCAGAGCGAAATATAATCAAAAATATTAAAGAGAGCGAGTCTTTATTTCAATAAAATCATTCTGGTGCGCGAAGTTCAAATTCCTTTATTCACGGGAGAAGAACAAGAAATATTTCTGGCTTAAGATATAAACGGTTCGCCTACGACCATCACCGGCGTCAATTAAATCATCTCTTTTTCACCAACAAGAAAACATTCCTCCTTTTTCGAAGTCGGTTAAATTAAAAGAAGCTCCTAGGTTTAGTAATTTGAGGCTTAAAAATATTAATGAACTCATTAATGAAGGCGCTATTCTCATTAAACAGGTTGAAGAGGTCTACGACGTGAGTGAAAATCCGAGGAAGGAACAGCTGGTCGGTGAAGAAAGAAACGTGGAAATAACTGAGAAGGAGGAGGAGGATTTTAATTTGGTGGTAAGGAAAAGGAAAAGGGCAGAAAGAGGAGACACGAAAACAACGGATAGCGATAGTTCTCCGAATGAACAGGCTAAACGCCTACAAAAGAAAAGATCTGGACAGGTTGGTAAAGGGGTTCAGGACTTATTTTCTTTCTGGAATAATAAGAAGGGAACGGAGAGAAATTTGAGTTCTGGACGAGGATTGCAAGGAAATAAACAAGGGGTTGAGAAGGAGGTTAATGGAGATAGGGAGAGGGATAGAGGTGGCTTCATTAAAGTTAGGTGTAAGGACGGAAAGGATTATTAGCAGGGATATTAAGGATAAAATTATCATTGGGAATGTCACTATTGACTGGATAAGACAGACAAGGGGAGGGAGGGACAAACGAATAAAATCTACAGTTGAAAATATGAAAAAGATGGGAGCGGTAAAAATCACAAAGGGGGTGGTCAGTGCTCGACTGGAACTTCTGGAGAAAAACTGGACAGCTTTTTCCGAAACTCACAACGAGCTTTTAGATGTCTTCTCCAAGGAATCGGAGCATTTCTACTTCCAGGAAGACTATATCAGCATCGGGGAAGAAGCATACCTGGCTCAAAAGGCATTTTTACTGGATCTTCAGGAGGAACTTTCTACCGGTAAGAGCACTCCATCACAAAATCCTTCGTCGCTGCGAGCCTTACCAAAAATAGTGCTCCCTGTTTTTTCGGGAGAATACAACAATTGGTCGAATTTCCGTGATCTTTTCCAATCGCTCATCATCGATAATGACTCGCTCTCGCTTGTCGAAAAACTCCATTATCTAAAAACAAGTTTATCTGGTGAACCCGCTCTGTTATTACAAAACATTTCGGTTACCGGTGATAATTTTGAACGCGCCTGGCGGTGTATTACCGAAAGGTATCAATATCTACGAGTGCTGATTCACGCCCAGCTTACTTCTTTAACATCTCACCCTACGATGAAGAAGGAGTCCGCACAAGAGTTGAAGGGATTGGTTGACGGCACTACCGATTCGGTTCAAGCCCTCGAAGCTTTGAAGCGGCCAGTCAAGCATTGGGACGATTATCTGGTTTTCGTCATCGCCGGAAAATTGGACCCCAAAACCAGGATGGCTTGGGAATCACACGTCGGAGCGTCAACCGAACCTTCTACATTTGAGGAGCTCAGAACCTTCCTCATCACAAGAGTAAGAGCACTGGAGGCTGTGGAAGGTTCGGCCATTTCATCGGCGGCGTCCAGCGGATGATCAGGAGCACCAAAGCTGGAAAAAGGAGCGTCATTTAATTCCTATGCGCGCGTAAGGTCGCACGCCACGTCTACGTCCAGTCGCAGCACTCAACGATGCGCCATTTGCAAGAAGGAGCATCCATTACTCTTTTGTTCAATATTTAAGGGCATGAATCCTCGAGAGAGGAAGCAGCTGGTCACAGAAAAGCACCTATGTTACAACTGTTTGGGTCCTCACTCTTCTACCGCGTGTAAGTCCACTAAGCGTTGCCAAGTATGCGTGGGTAAGCATCACACCTCTCTTCATTCTAACATTGAGCAATTTTCTGCCTCTACCGCGTGTAAGTCCACTAAGCGTTGCCAAGTATGCGTGGGTAAGCATCACACCTCTCTTCATTCGAACATTGAGCAATTTTCTGCCGCTGGTTCTTCTTCTTTAGTCCAGGTACCCAGGGCAAGTCCTGAGGTGGAGAACGGTCCTAATTCAGAGCGAGCTGACACTTCCAGCAAGGTTATTCACTGCGCAACGACTTCCTGTTCCGTGTCTGAGTCGATTTCGGTATCGATTTCGGTCATACTAGCCACTGCGGAGCTCGTGCTGGAGTCAGACCAGGAAAATCGGATGCTCGTCAGAGCTCTTATAGATCCCAATTCGGAGGTTTCACTGGTAGAAGAAAGCGTTGCTCAAATCTTGAGACTTTCCAAAATTCCAGATAAAATCCCGGTAATTGGTGTTAGAAAGACACAGACCTTCACTAAAGGTAGGGTTTTTCTACGTTTATATTCTCGTTATGACGAATCCACTTCATATAATTTGACCGCTTACATGCTTCCTCGATCATCAGCGTATCAGAACAGAACTTCATCAAGTCCAGTCGCGCTTTCGCATCTTCAAGGGTTAAAACTGGCGGATCCGAATTTTCAATCATTCCGACGTGTAAGCGTTATACTGGGAGCGGGAATATACGCTCAGATCATTCGGTCCGGTTTAATACAAGGTCCCCCAAACACCCCAATAGCTCAGGCAACTTCACTTGGGTGGATATTAACGGGACCCTTACTCTACCCCTAAACCCCCCAAAACAATAAAGCCGAATCTCATCAGGCAATATCTTTACAGTGTTCATTAATGGATCCGAACTTAACAGAAACACTCACCAAGTTCTGGAAGCTCGAGGAAGTCCCTTCCAACTCAAAACAGCTCACTAGCGAGGAACAGGCGTGCGAGGATCACTTCCGAAAAACAGATTCTCGGGATGCTTCGGGGAGATACACCGTGTCTCTTCCATTCAAATCTTCACCTTCTCTTCTGGGTGAGAGCAAACGAGCCGCTATCTCTTTCTTCGCGAAGTTAGAAACGCGCTTCAATTCAAATCCATCACTACAAAAAGAATATTGCGATTTTATTAAAGAGTATGAGTCGCTAGGACACATGGAGCGCGTGCCGGAACAAGAAATTTTCAGTTCAAACTATTATTTGCCTCATCACGGTGTGTGGCGTCAAGCTAGCGCGACTACTAAACTTAGAGTCGTGTTTAACGCCTCAGACAAAAGCACTTCAGGTCTGTCTTTAAACGACCTGGTACATACTGGTCCAAATCTATTACCGGAAGTTTTTTCTATTCTATTACGCTGGCGCAGACATGCTGTAGCTTTCGCGGCGGAGATTGAGAAAATGTATCGTCAAATTCGAGTATCTCAAGCAGATTGTGAGTTTCAAAAAATCGTTTGGCGAAATTCTCCTAACTCTCAACTCTCTACTTACAAACTTTTAACAGTTACTTACGGCATGGCATGCGCTCCATTTCTGACCATTCGTACTCTACATCAGTTAAGTACAGATGAAAAGGAGGCTTATCCGCTGGCAGCTCTCTGTCTTTTGCACGACACCTACGTCGATGACGTAGTATCTGGATCTAACACTCTGGAAGAAGCCACTCTCCTTAGTCAACAATTAATCGAGTTGTTAAAGGCGGGCGGCTTTAAACTTAGAAAATGGATATCTAATAATCCCGATCTTTTAAAAAACTTACCAGCGGATTACCTTGGTTCTTCTTCTAATCCTGCGTGCAACTTTGACGCAGTTTCGAGTGTCCTAGGTTTGAGTTGGAACACTTCCTCGGATTGCTTTATCTTCAACCCTCAACCTCGGAATCGTACTGGACTCATAACTAAAACAACAGTTTTTAGTGAGATCTCAGGATTGTTCGACCCACTGGGCCTTCTGGCTCCTGTAGTATTTCTCGCAAAAATCTTTATGCAGTCGCTTTGGCTGTTGAGTTTAAATTGGGATGATCCCCTTCCCAACCCTCAAAGGAATTTCTGGTTAACTTACTTGTCGGAGTTGAGCGCTCTTTTCTCGCTTCGGATACCTCGCTGGCTTTCTACTTCATCTAACAATAATATTCTTCAATTGCACGGATTTGCTGACGCGCCCGAAAGGGCCTATGCTGCAGTCATTTATATACGGGTCTTGTCCCAGCATCCCGAAGCTACACCCACGATGACACTCGTGGCAGCTAAAACGCGAGTAACTCCTTTGAAACAAATATCGCTGTCTAGACTCGAACTATGTGCTGCTACCCTACTGGTTAGGCTTATAAAAAGTGTTAGAGATACTCTTTCGTTACATACCTGTGAACTTCATCTCTGGTCTGACTCCACCATAGTTCTCAGTTGGCTTCAGCAACACCCTTCTAAATGGAAAACGTTCGTCGCAGCAACACCCTTCTAAATGGAAGACGTTCGTCGCCAATCGGATGTCAGAGATTCAGACATCGATGCCTCATGCAGTCTGGCGTCATATTCCGTCGGCAGAAAACCCGGCCGACTTAGCTTCTCGTGGTCTTTCAGGAAAAAGGTTAGGGTCTAGGTTGGGGTCAAGTAGTATTTGGTGGAAGGGACCTACATTTTTGTCCCAACATAATCCTAATCTGAATAATTACCTTCTCTCGAACTTAGTCACGGATAAGGAAGCTCGGAACTCAAAGTTAGTTTGCTCCACGGTCACTAGCTCCTCCTTCTTAGAGGAGTTCATATCTCGATATTCATCTGTGGATAAATTGTGTAGAATCACTTGCTGGTGTCTTCGCTTCGGGAATACAAACATACAGAATTGTTTACCTCAGCTTACTACGGATATTGGTGTTGATGAATTACTGAATGCGCGACTTACCTTAATTCGATGTATACAAAACATAGAGTTTTCAGAAGAAAGGACTTTACTTGACCAGTCTGCTTCTATCTCTCGTGGACCATTGAGCAGACTGAACCCCTTTTTGGACGAAAAGGGAATTCTTCGCGTCGGAGGAAGATTAAAACATTCACTACTGGACTTTAATGAAAAACATCCCATTATTCTTCCTAAAAGGGGACACTTCACTACACTGATCATTCGCGAAGCTCACTTGAGAACCTTGCACGGCGGAGTACAACTTACTTTGGGGTTTCTTCGTCAACGATACTGGATCCTCTGTGGACGTCGTGCTGTTCGGACCTACGTATTTTCGTGCGTTACTTGCTGGCGATGGCGCGCGAAAATTGCCGAACAGCAAATGGGTAATCTTCCTCACGATCGCGTGCGACCGTCTAGACCAGTGGTCGGCAAACTTATTAGCCAAAGAGCCAAATATGAACATTACAACAATTTTAAAAAAAATTGGGAGCCAAATCTGCTTGTTTAGTAAACTTTTATAGCACTAAATAAGTAGTACACTAAATAAAACTAAATTTCATACTTAATAAATATTTATTAATGCGAACAATGTGCTTGCATCTCCTTGGAAAGTTTGAGTAAGTCAGGTTTGTATGTTGTTGTTTTTAATTTTAGGCATGATTCCAAGTTCTCATCAATAAGACGACTTCTCAGTTTACTCTTGATAATGTTCATGCTTGAAAAAGATTGTTCGCATATATATGTAGAACCGAAAAAGGAAAGAACAGCAAACGCGAACTTTTTCAGCTGATCGTAAGAGTCAGGAATACTATTCCAAGCGTTGAAAATGATCATGTCTTCCTTCTCCAGGTCATTCAAAGCAGACCACTTGTGTTGTGAACTAAGATCACATTTTTTCTTCTCCAATATTTCCAATTCAACACAAAGACGTTCGAATTTAGAGCGCCATATCTCCTTGTTTTTTAAATCCAGCAATTGTATTTCAAAGCTACCAATGTCAATTTCAAAAGGAGAAAATTTCAACTCGGTTATCGTAGCATTAAGAGGATTTTTGACAAATGCTAAAGTTGCTCTGCTGTTTTTAAATTCCTGAAACCTGCTGATAAATGCTTCCCTCATATTTAAAATTATTGTTTTAAAATGGTGTTTATCAATAGAGGAATTATTTTCTTGGCGATGCTTCAGCAAGCTCGGAAAGTGAAACAATGTTTCCCTCCCTCTCGATCGCGTGCGACCGTCTAGACCATTCATTAATACTGGCATTGACTACGCCGGGCCGTTCGTTATAAAAATTAGTCCAGGTCGGTGTTTACGTTCTCGGAAAGCCTATGTAATGGTCTTTGTCTGCTTAACTTCTCGCGCGGTTGATCTCGAGCTAGTATCCGATTACACAACAGACGCTTTCCTCGCCGCGTACCGGCGCTTTGTATCTCGACGGGGAATATGTTCCCTTATTCGCAGCGATCAAGGAACAACCTTTATCGGCGCCCAACGCGCCCAGCTTCATCGTCTCTTTCAAACCGCGCAAATCGAATGGTCGAAAGTAGCGAATATCTTAGCTAAAGAAGGAACTGTGTGGCAATTCAATCCCCCATCTGCTCCCCACTTCGGGGGCATTTGGGAAGCGGCCGTCAAATCGCTAAAATTCCATCTTAGACGGGTAGTGGGAGATACTCTTCTGACTTTTGAGGAATTTACCACTGTTTTAGCGCAGAACGAAGCTTGCCTCAATTCGCGTCCCTTAGCGCCTCTTGGGGATAGCGCAGATACTTTCGATTTTCTCACACCAGGTCACTTTTTAATAGGAGGTTCTCTCGTTGCCGTACCGAAACCCACTCTAATCG